CTCATCTCAAATATTTTATAATTTCCTTCATTTATTTTTTAGGATTTTGCAATAGGGCACATACACGCACTGGACAGAGATGGAGGCGGGGGGGTGTAGTAACCATGCCACAATCCCTTCTTCTCCACTCTCCTCTCAGGATTCTGAGCATGTATGTGCATGCCAGATACGTGTGCACGCAAACCCAAAATCCTGAGAGGAGAATGAAGGAGAAGGGATTGTGGCATGAACATGCATCCTGCATGATTTCCAAGCCATCAGGTCTGGGACTGGAACTGTGGTCAGCTATATGAGACTCCAGTGCCTTAGTCACCATGCCACTTGCTGGCCCCCTGTAATTTCTTTCTTGAACTATTGATTATTTAGAAGTGTGCCCTTTAACTTCCACATATTTGTGAATTTCCCAAATTTTCTTTTGTAATTGTCTTTTTAAGAATTATTTATTTAGGGACAAGCAGCAGGCATAATGAATATGTCGCTGAACTCCAAAGTAGTTGACTGTGGTTCAAGTCCCAGACTCATGCTGGGCACATGTGTATGTGTGCCCAAAATCCCAAGAGGAGAATGGAAGAGAAGGGATTGTGGCATGGCCTTCTCTCCTGGGGAGTAATTTCTCACTTTTTGTCTCTCTGTCTTTCTGTCTCACTGCCTCTCTCTGTCTCTCCAATCATATGTGCATCCTATAGCAAAAATTTCTCTAAAAAAAGAATTATTTACTTTATTTCATTTATTATTAGTAGTAGTATTTAATTTGCTATAGGACATGTGTGGTCACCAGAGAGTGACGGAGACACAGGTAGAGAGAAAGAGAGAGAGAGAGAGAGAGAGAGAGAGAGAGAGAGAGAGAGAGAGAGAAAGTGATAAAGCAAGTACCAGGTCCGGGACTTGACCCACGGTTGGCCATGTGGGAGTCGAGAACCTTACCAACCATGCCACCTGCTGGCCCTTGTAATTGATTTTTAATTATGCTCCATTATAGTTAGAAAATGTAGTTTGTATGATTTCAGTATTTTTAAATATACTGATGCTTGTTTTATGACTTAATATATGATCTATCCTGGAGAATATTCCTTGTGTTATTGGGAAGAACGTATGTTCTAATATTGTTGAATAGAGGCACTGACAGATGTCTATTAGGTCTTTTATATGGTTTGCAATAGTAGCTAGAGCTTGCAATCCCCCATGTTCAGTAATTGATAGAATTACTAGGCAAAAGATCAACAAGGAAATAGAGGACACAAGCAACACTATAAACCAAATAATAGACCTAATACACATCTATCAGTCACTCTCTTCAATGATATCTTAATATACTTTTTCCCCCATTGTTCTTTCTTTTACTAGTACTTTTTCATGAGTTATTTCCTAGTGTTATTTAAATTAGATAAGAAAAGGAGTTTCTCTAAAATACATTTATATGATCTATTTACCTTTGTAATTATCTTTATTGATACTCTTTGTTGTTTCATGTGTTTCAAATTACCATCTAGTATCCTTTTATTTCATCCCAATGAAATTTTTTAGTATTCCTCGTAGGGCATGTATTCTAGCAACAAATTCTATTTTTATTTATATAAAATTTCTTAATATTTTCCTAATTTTTGAAGAATATTTTTGGTAGATCTTGAATTCTTGGTTAACAGTGGGGTTCCCTTTACTTTCCAGCACTTCTAATATGTCATTCTATTGCCTTCTGGCTTCCATGGTTTCTGATGAGAGGTCAGCTGTTAATCATAATGGTGCTCTCTCAAAAGGGATTAATCACTTTTCTCTTGCTGCTCTCAAGATTCTTTCCTTGTCTTCGTTTTTGACAATTTGACTATGATGTGTACAGACATGGATCTCTTTGAGTTTTTCCTAGAGACTTTAAAGCTCTTTAGATGTGTATTTCATCAAATTTGGTAAAATTTCAGCCATTATTTTTCAAATATTATTTCTTTGTTGTTTTTTTTTCCTTCCTCCTCTCCCTTGGGAACTCCTATTATGATTTATTGGTAAACTTAATGATATCAAATAATTGTCCCACAAATGTCTGACACTATTTATTTTTCTTCATTTTATTTCTTTCTGTTCCTCAAATTAGATCATCTTAAATGACTTATCTTCAAATTTGCTGACTTTTTTTGCCAACTCAAAGCTATTGTTGAGATTCTCCAGCAATTTTTCATTTTAGTTATTGAATTTTCAATTCCATAATTTTATGTTTTCATACTTTAACTTTTTAGATTTTTTTTTTTTAGTTCTTTGAACATAACTTAAACATAAATGCTTCACACATTTTTTTCTAGTAAACTCAACAACTGGATTCTCTTAAGGATGCTTTCTATTGACTACTTTCTTGTGTATAGGACACACTTTTCTGTTTCTTTGTGGTTGACACTATTTGTTTGTTTGCTGACTTTTCTGTACTAATGTACCCTTTGAGACTTACATTGTAACTTGGCACCGAATATGACAATGCTGGGAAGGTAGTACCTAGTGGGAGTGACTGGGGCATAGGGATGGATTTCTCAGAAATTATTAATGCCATCTCTAGGGAAGGAGAGGGTTCTCCCATCAGAGAAGATTGTTATAAAAGCAAGCTGGTTTCCCACAGGTCTTTCTCTCTTTGCATGTTTCTGCTTTCCTCTCCATTTTTTTCAGTCATGTTGTGATGTAGCATCAGGGGCCAGTCAAATGCTGACCACATACCTTTGGATTTTTCAGTCACCAGAATCATAAGCCAAATAAATCTCTTTTCTTTATAAGTTACCCAGTCTCAATTATTTCTGTTATAACAATACAAAAGACTAAAACATATGTTTATTTTGTAAAGTCTGAATTCCTTATTGCAGGTGGCCAGTGGACTCTGCCCAGTTATCTTAGTGATTAAGTATAGATGTGAAAAAGATTACCTTTAATATCTTAAATCAGTAAGTTTTCTACCATTTGCCATTGGATATTCTCTGTGTGTGTTAGGACACACCTCCAATGTTCTGGCAGTTTATAATTCTGTCTTTGTCTCCATCTTTTGCTTATACTGGACCTCAAGGTCATCAGAGATGAGATATTAGGGCCTTTCCTGAGCATGCGCACAGCCTCATATATGTGCTTGGCCTTCACATATGTGCTTGGCTTCTAGACCCCAGGAATATATTAGTATCTTGAATCTTTCATTCTCCAGGTCTTTCTTTTACTTTTTTTTAAGAGAGATTTTTGCCATAGGACATGTACACTCACTGGAGAGACAGAGAGACAGAAAGCAAGAGAACACCTTCTAGGGGGATTCCTTCTCCATTCTCCTCTTGGGATTTTGGGGAAACACGCACATATGCCTGGTGTAAGTTTTAAGTTGCCAGGTCTGGGACTTGAACCACAGAACTACATGGAAGTTTAGCAATGTAGCTTTTACGCCATCTACTGGCCCCACTTTTTTTTTTTTGGTAGCCTCTAGCTAGTATCTCTCCAGCTAGTATCACTACAAACAATTGCACTGACTGTTTTTAATAAATGCCCCAAAGATAGGGCTTTTCAGACTGAGCAAGTTCTGAATCTGATCAAATATTGACAAGCCCTATGAATAGGGTTTATCCAGAGAGCTTTTACAAAGGCCAAGCATTGACAATTACATAGAGCCGGTATTTTCTGAGGAACTCCCAACCCATTTGATCCCCTCTACTGGTTATTAGGTTGCTGATTTTTACAGGTGCCATGGTTAGAAGCTACTGATTTTCAAGGCTACTGCAGAGCTAAGGAGAGAGAGGTGGAAATAAGGCAGGTTAAAGTGCCACAAATCTTGGTTGTATTTTTTAACTGATCTTCAGCCATTTTGCTTGACTAAACAGATTATTACAAGCCTTTGGTTAATTTTCAGAGGTATGAAAAATGGATTTTGACAAGTTTTCTCATTGCTTCTTAGGAGTGTACTTTAAGAGGCCCTTATCTCACCATCCCAGAAGTTCTGCCTCTTATTCCCCTTAAATATCATGTAAAAGATACTATAAAACTTTATTTTTTTTTCAATTTACAATGTAGCTTAGAAACAATACCCTATCAGTTCATAGATATCTTTAAAAAGTTTTAAATTCTATTTTTAACATACTTTAATATGAATGTACCACTATTTATTTAACAAATCATGTATCTATGACCTTTTGAGTTGCTTTATTTTTTCAAGGTAATTGATTTTTAATTCTTATACTTACTTGGTGCCAGATGTATGCAAAGTATTTTTCATGTATTACCTAATTTAATTTTCAAATAATTATAATAATGGTAATATTAACCCTTGAAATATCACTTAAAGTACGTACAGCAGTAGGTATTATCCCCTTTCATAATGAGAAACTGAAGCCTATTGAGACAAAGAAGGCAGCCCAAGGTCACACAGCCAGAAGGAAATGAAGTCAAGTTTAGATTCTCAGCTCTCTGACATCAAAGCTTTTTCTGCCAATTACTATGTTATATGTTGAAGGGAGTCCTTGATAATCCAAAGCTGCCAGTGTTTGAATCCTACTTCGGCACTAGCACAATTTTATAAAAAAATAACACAGGTAGAGATTCATTAAAGAAACACATTCATGGGGCTCCTAGTTATCAAAGACATGACCTCAAGAAACAGAAACTAAAGCAGGAGATAGGAAATTAGAAGCTGCTATATAGCAACTAATAAGGTTGTATTTATGTGCATATGAGTGGTGTCTCAGGGTTCTTCCATGGACAGGAAAGATTTTTAAGAGAAATTAGAGATTCTCCAATAACAGATAAGAACAGAACTAAAGAAATATAGTTGCATATTGCCAGATTTAACAAATTAAAATATAGGATATCCAGTTAATATTGAATTGTATATAAGCAATTGATATTTTTAGCCTAAGTATGTATCAAATATTGCACGCACACATACATATATATATTTAATTATATATATAATTACTTGTTTATCAGTGAGACAAATCTAACTGGATGCCCTATATTTTACCTGGTAACTTTGTCTAATGTGTCTTCACTTCCCTCCTAAGGTACTGAGACCTGAGGAAACCAGTTACACATCACATAGAGATAACTGGAAATGACACCATCACTGGAATGCTGTCCAGCATCTTGCATCATATATCCGGTACTATATGACCTTGAACATGTTTGTCTTGATACTTGAGTTTTCTTCTATTGCAAAATAGAATTCTCTCTAGAGATAAGGAGAGCCAGTAAGTCTATACAAGGCCCCTTTATATGTATCATATACTCACTAATATTCAAAAGAAATAATACTGTGATTTTGGAGTTTCTTTATACTTCCTTGACAGTTTTAGATTCAGCCCTCTCTTCTCCATTTCATTTTATCTTTTTGAAGGATAGGAAACTTAAATCTGACTAGCAAACTTGAAGGACTACGACACAGTCCTGGTAAATTCTCTCCTTGAAATATACTCTTTTTAAGTAGAAAATATCTCCTTGTTCTTCAAATCTGGCAAGACGTTTCTTATCAAACTGACCAATATTCTTCTTTGTCCTTCAAGAGAGGTTAGAATATCCATCAGGCTCTGTATAGGCCTGTGGTCATGCCCCTTAGCTGTGGCATAGGCTGGTTATCTAAACTTAGGGAGTAAACACGGTTTAAGAGGCAAGGTAAACCAGGTAGCCATGTTTAGACAATCTATGAAAAATACTCCTGATAGATCTATGTCAGAATTACAGTGGTGACCTTAAAGTCTACAGGTTTAAAATAGAAAGGATCCTATGCCTACTTTGTAAAATCCACTGATTTATTAGATAGCATCAGTATACTTCCATGAATGGTCTATTATCATCTCCATTAAACACACATGTTCAAAGATTCATAAATTGTTGCATGACTCTCTGTAAAAGATCTGTTTGATCCTTTTGGAGACAAAATTTAAGTGCTACAGAAATGGGAAATTTATGATTTTCTTATACAATCTTTAAATAACAACAGATTTGAATGTCCTTTTTTCGGACCATATCTCAAGAATTTCAGAGTAACCTTTTTGTACAGAAAAGATCTGAAGATGTATTTCCTTTTAGCACTTGCTAAAATTCTTCTTCAAAGTTGTTCTCACTGAGATTTCAGAAAAAAGTTAACTCCTCTACAGATTTTTTAATTTTTTTACTTGATTCACTTGTGTAGCATCTAAATATAATTGTGAAATATATAGAAATTTTTGGAGGGGGGAGAGGTTTTTGCAACAGGGCACGTGCACTTGCCAGAGAGACAGAGAGATACAGAGAGACAGAAAGTGAGAAATCAGCCCCCAGGGGGATGGCCATGCTGCAATCCTTTCTCCTCCATTCTCCTCCCAGGATCTTGGGCATGTACGCACATGCGCCCAACGTGAGTTTAAGCCACTGGGTCCAGGACTTGAACTGCGGTCAACTACATGGGAGTTCAACGACATAGCCATCATGCTAACTGCTAGTCCCAAATATTTATAGATACTCAGGTCCACCCTGGAAAAAATATTGACAAATTTTAATGAAAGGGGCCAAATTAAAATATTATTTCAAGAATTTAGATTTCACGAAACTGGAATTATTTGAAATTGTATACATGAACATCTATTTAATCACCTAAAAATTAAGTATATTATTACCTCAAAAGTCTTACGAAGCTGGCCAGACTTTAAAACTCCTTTATATTTTTAAAAGAAAAATACTATTAATTTTTATGACTATAAACTGAAAAACATAGGTAAGGTGCAAATTTCTCAAATAACTAACTTGTCTGTAAATTTTGAAGTTATTTGTAAGTTTTATTGCCACAGCACCTAGTAGAGATGTTTCTATTCCTTTTAAAATATAATGTATCTTACTCTACAAAGTTTGTTTTATACAGTGGAACATGTGGTATTATTTTCATTTTACAATGAGGCTCTGTGTCATTGCCAAGGATATAGGGCTGATATTTTAACCAAGGTCTTCTGTTTCAAATACAATTACACTTGGGGCCAGCAGGTGACATGGTGGTTGGCCGACCTCAGTTTGAGTCCCAGACCTGGTGACTTAACTTTCTCAATATCCTTCTCTCTTTCTCTCTCTGTTGAATTAAAATAATAATAATAATAATAAATTAAATAAATAATTCTTAAAACAAAAATACAACTACATGTGACATTTAGATATTTGTAGTTGATATTGGTTTAATGAGAGTATGTAGCTTAATGTTAGCAAAATTAGTAATTCTGACATCGATAGCTTTGGTATGTTTAATAAATAAGAAGAAAAAGAATATTCATTTTGAAGGAATCCTGTGATCTTGGAAAACAATAAAAACTCTGACAAACTCCTTTCTTCAGGACCCATCTGTAATGGATGCATGGCAACTGGTCGATGTTCTGAGTCTTTGCCAAGATGATCACATGTTCATAGATGTCTGAAGGAGAAATCATTTCTCCCAGCAGGGCTCCTCCTGAGCTCAAGCACTCCAGAGTGTGGTTATCTCTGTCCTTGATGTTATAGCCTCTGGGGTCAGAAGTCTGGCTTGGGAACAGTTCTTCAATTATCCATTTACAGGAGGCTCTCAGTGTAACACCCTTAACAGGTCTGATTTCATGTTATCTCTCCTTTGATCTTAAACAGTGTTTGAGCTTTGTCAAAACACAGGGAGTCTGTGGGGATCTCTTCAAGCTACTATAAAAAAACAGGCTAATTAAGTCATTCAATCCTTCATAAAAATCACCTAAATAATCGTAATTTGGTCAACACTTAACTGAATAAAATCAAGAGGAATTGCAGTCTTCCAGAATTCCTAGAAGCGTCTTCCGACATCTAAATTAAATCCTGATTATCTCTTTTTCTCTCTTTCTTTCTGCATTTAAAATATTCTGTAGGGGTTGGAAAGTTTTCAGATCAAAGTATATGAAAGAACCATTAACTGTTCCTCCCTGTCTATTCTGTCCCACAGGAGCTTAAAGTTGGAGACTGGAGTCTGGAGCAGCACTGGGATGCATGTGCTGGCCATGCCTGGAGAATTCCAGCCTGTCCTTTAGGATTCTGGTCCTATTTTTATCTTGTCACTTAGTCATTCTGGGCTACATTTTCTTTACTCATAAAATGAAAGAGTTGGGTGAAATAATAAAACCTTAGAGTGCTTGCCACTTCCAAATTCTATGATTTCTGAATGTTTGCAGGGAAAATAACTTCCTATTTTATACAAGCTCTTCTTTTGTCATTCATGCCAAAGAGGAGTTTGAGTGTATCTGAATGTGGGTCACGGTAGGTGAGGGAGGGGGGCCAGGAAGGTGAGAATAAAGCTCAAGGTCAGTCAAAGCCCAGGCTGTGATTTCCTGTCTATCCTGAAAATGGGGCTTTCCCAAGCTTCAGAGCCAGTCTTACTTATCACTTGTTACTCTAATATGGATAACAATCAGCGTAATTAACAATGGGTGTGCACCACACAATCAAAAAGACCCAATAGTATTTGGCAACAAAAAGTTTCATAAAGGAACTGCTGGCTCCATTTTGTCTGTGGTTAGGTACAGATGAAAAACAGAAAAATCAGTTAAAGTGATCATAGAAATTCTTCGTTACTTTAAAATAAAAAGGATGAAAATAACTTCAAACTATGCAATGTATTTGAAAGCATTTACTAACAGTATTAGTATTTTCAGAGTGTTTACTGAGCCCTGTGAAAAGAGATGGTCATTTACAAAACTTTCTCATGCTAGAAAATTCTGTGGCCACCTAAGCAGCTCGACTGTTCCCTGTGTGCAAAGGATGTGTTTTCTGAGCACAGAAAAAAGAAGTCCCCCCCGCCCCCCATCATTCAGTGTTCTCCCATGAGGTTGTGTGTGGGAGGGAAACTCAGTTTTAGCCAAATCACTGTCCCAAAGTAAAGAGCCTTATATGACCTGGGAGAGAATGAGTCAAGAAGTGTTAAATCAGCTTGGTTTATAGCAAAAATCAGAGGATCGAGAAGATGTGTGCTGGATCTGGAACCAGGGTACAAAGTACTAATACTGAGTACTTAGTATGTGCCAGCACTGCCCTGGGCCTTAGGGAACAAGTGAAAGAACAAGGCCAACAGGACGCCAGCTCTCAGTGTAGCTTAGAATTTAGCAAAGGAGGCAGACTCCAAGGGAGAAGGCTCAAGCTATGATTTCTTGGGTAAGCTGCCATCAGAATTTCCCAAGAATCAGATAGAGTGGGTCTTAAAATAGTGACAAGTAGAGCCAGCAGATAGTTTGGGGGTTAAGGTGGCTGGCTCCCACGTGGCTGACTGTGTGGTCTGAGTACTAGATCTATCAGCCTGAAACTGCTGAGCACATGGTGTACATGCCCAAAGTCCTGATGGGAGAATGGAGAAGGACTGCATCATGGCTAACCCCCAAGGGGTGAGTGATTTGTCTCTCTCTCTCTCTCTTTCACCAGCGAGCACATGTGCCCTATGACTAAATTAAAAAAAAAAAAAATTTTAAAGTGTGACAAGTCAATGAGGGAGAAGTACAAGGTGTGAAGGAAAATGAGTAGGTTGACTTTTGGTGGCATGAGGCCTCATATAACGTCCACCATCAGAACCTCAGAGAAATTACAGATAGTTTGGGGGTTAAGGTGGCTGGCTCCCACGTGGCTGACTGTGTGGTCTGAGTACTAGATCTATCAGCCTGAAACATGCTGAGCACATGGTGTACATGCCCAAAGTCCTGATGGGAGAATGGAGAAGGACTGCATCATGGCTAACCCCCAAGGGGTGAGTGATTTGTCTCTCTCTCTCTCTCTTTCACCAGCGAGCACATGTGCCCTATGACTAAATTAAAAAAAAAAAAATTTTAAAGTGTGACAAGTCAATGAGGGAGAAGTACAAGGTGTGAAGGAAAATGAGTAGGTTGACTTTTGGTGGCATGAGGCCTCATATAACGTCCACCATCAGAACCTCAGAGAAATTAGTAAGACTCTCAGCATTAATAATGGAGATAAATATTGCCATTTTCTGGGTTTCAACAATATTCTAGACCAGATACTTTTGTTACATTATCTGATTTAAAATAGTGATCTGACACTTGACACTTTTGAAAGGCTCCATAAATTAAAGTGCAAGAGAGAAATCACTGCTTAGAGCCTGGATACAGAACATGTTTTCATATGCAAGCTTACTAATGTCTTATTAAATTGTCATCATAAGCCATTATTACATGCAAAGATGTGGCTTGAGCCTTCTTAGTACTATATAGTTGTAGGATTGTTTCACTAGTAAATGAGAATAAGTTTAGGTTCTTACAAGGTTCGCTAGCCAGGAGGATGTTGGGGACCATGGTGCAAAATCATGGCCTGCGCGTTCCAACTCCCTGTCTCACTATCCCTTCCCCTACCCTCAGTGGTGAGAAGTGTAGCTAATTTGTCTCAGTATCAAATTCAGGAGTGTGTCCTATTCTCACAGCCAGACACCATACCATTGAGAGTGGAGTTTGGGGACTATGTAATTTTTAAGAATGTCACCATAGTTTCATCAGCCACTATATAAAATGTTAAATGCAAATATTTAAATTCCCTCTAAGTATGTATTTTCTAGACAACTACTAAAAGCAGACCAGTAGACTAAGCAAAAAATTTTTCAAAGAGGTCTAAAAGTAGAGCACCATGTGCCACTAGCACTGTTGTCCAGCATCAGTGGTGATTAATAAGTTAAAAAGGACTCAGAAGCTATGGCACAGCAGTAATGCAGTGCTCTACAAGACTAGAAGCCACATGCTCACTAAGGTTAGTATCCCTGGATCAGCCTGAAAAGATGCTGGGTGCATGTGTGGGCACCCAAAATCCTGAGGAACTGGAGGGTTTTTAAGAAGTGTCAGCATGAGCATGACAAGTCCCTGTGGAGGGTGCTTTCTTGGTCTCTGTCTCATACGTGTACGCATGCTATCATTAAAGTAATTAATTAATTAATTAGTTAGTTAATTGAAGAGGCTTGCCTTGGTGGAGAAGCAGTAATGTGCTGCTCAAGTGATGCATGACCCACATGGAAGAGTCTGGCTTCTATTCTTCCAGCTGACTTGTGAACACCAAGAGGTTGACTGAGAAGGGTGGGGGAAATCACAGCATAAGACTCTCTTGAGTGTGCTTTCTCTGTCTCTGTCTCTCTCTGTCTTGAAATAAATACATAAGCTTTAAAAAATGATCATAAATTAAAAGCAGACATTCTTTTTGGAGTGCTTTTTAGATTCCATGAAATGCTATTTACCAGCACAATTTACCAGTTTTCTATTTTTCTTTCATTAAGACACTTTAGTAACAGGAAAAATATATATATAAAGTTAAAAAAGTATAAAAATATATCTGGTACCCTTAAATTTAACATTAAATTCTAACTAAAGTTTGACCAGAACAAAGACTTGTGAAACCCTGTGAATATTCTAGCCACATGAATGGCAAGGTAGAAAGTGGGAACAAATAGAATACATGGTAAGAGAGAATGTGTGATTCATGTTGTTGATAAAAATAGTTGTCCTTTAAGCCAAAAGTTTTCAATAATGCCTAAAATAAGTCATTGTCTCAGGAATTTTAACAGGGTCAAATTTTTTGCTATGCCTCTTAAATTACCAACAGATATTTTGGACTTGTTCTGGAGTGGTTTAAAAAATATGGTTTAAAGGTTTCATTGAATTTCCTCCCATATAACTCTTAACTTTTTGACATGTGGTCAGTTAAATGTATTTTGGATTTTTACTAAATATTGGCAGTGGAGAGGTGGGTAGTGAAAAGAAAAAATAAAGAGAAGGGGTTCATTGCCTCTGTCCTGTTAAATGTATGCGCAGGTCCCACTGAGATATCTGGGATTGCTGATCCATTAGAGTTGCAGTCCCCCTCAACCCTGGTACCCTTTGATTAATGGGGTTTCCTCTACCCTTTTATAGAGAAATGGGGAAGACACAAGTATTTCCTACATGCTGGATTTGGGGTAGGTTTTTGATTGAAACAAGGGAAGGGAAAGTGCACTTTTCAGGAAGGAAACAGGATGAATAATTATGGGCATAGAGTCAGTTGGAAGAAGGAGCTTTTGGTAAGCCAGTTTGGCTGGTGTAAAGACAGAAAGAGAAGAAAAGGAAGGAAGGTTAACTTGGGGGGAAAATTGCTAAGATCTCCACCACAATTAAGTTAAGTGTGTTTGTAGGGTTCAGCTAATGGCTGGTTCATTTGTGAAATTGTGAATCTGGTAGCCATCTCCAATATTTTTTCCCAATTCTCACATTTTCAAATGCTATCTTATGGCCTTGGATATTGTGCCCTGGAAAACTGTGAAGCTTGAGATAGATCCAAGAATCATTCATTTAGAGGTGACATTTAAAAGAGTGATTGGTGAACTTACCAAAAGATAACGTAAGGAAAGAGAAGATGAGAAGACCAAGCATACATGTAGGGTCATACACATCAAAGAAAAGGAGAAAGGGGAACCACCAAGGAGGTCAAAGCCACATACCAACAGGAAGGAAGAGAACCAGAATAGGACCCTCTGAACAGGTCACCTACTAGTAGGTCATAATTTTTCATGCAAAAATTCATCATGACTTTCCAGATGACCCAATATAAGAGAGTAAGGAAGACCAAAAACAGACAGAGAACATTGGATTTGACACTTGAGATATGATTGCTATTCATTTTTTTCTTTTGGAGAGATTTTCGCTATAGGGCGTGTGCGCTCGCCAGACAGACAGAGAGAGACATAGAGACAGAAAGCGAGAAATCACCCTCCAGGGGGAATGGTCACGCCGCAATCCCTTCTCCTCCATTCTCCTTTTGGGATCTTGGGCACGCACGCACACGCGCCTGGCATGAGTTTTAAGCCACCGGGTCCAGGACGTGAACCGTGGTTGACTACCTGGGAGTCCAGCAACATAGCCATTACGCTAACTGCTGGTTCCCATGATTGCTATTCTTTAAAAGAACATGGTTAGGACTATTCATAACCAAGGAAAGTTAGCCTATGGATATGGGCAACACTGAGAATCACAGAGTAGGATGAGCTCGCAGGGCCCCATTTCTTGGGTGCAATGTTAGAGGTGATATGCCTGCTGTCTCGAAGTAGATAAGTAGACAAGTTCAGCAAGATGGAAAAGTCCAGGTAAAATGTCACAGAATGGAAATTCCTTAGAGGAGTGAATCAGCCGAT